AGTAATGATCCAACTTATACAAATTAATGAAAGTTGCGTGGTCTACGGCGACTACTGTAGTAGTAGAAAGTTCCTTCACACCTGAATGGTTGCAGTTGCGGTATTCGATGGAGATGCAGTGCAAATGTGAGACAAGTAATTTTAACACTGCCATGGTGTCGGCGGTTAACATATGGTTCGAAAATAAGGGATGTTCTCTGAAGAAATGGTCGAAGGTCCCCAGACCTTGAAAGATAAACCGGGTACAGCACATGGTTGTAAACTTCGTCAGGTGCATAAGTCGCTCACTGAGCGGTGAATAATCTGAACTGGCGTCATGTCCACCATTGGCTGAGGCCATCCACAGAGTTTACGAATATAGATAAAGGCCGCTGGAAGAGACACTGTCTGCTGCACTCTAGTATATAGGTCGCGAAGATGCTAAAACAGTTTAACATCGCATTCACGGTCTGTGCTAACCGTAACCTTGTGTCTTTGGGGGTGAATAAACGTGGGAACGGGTTCGACTGCGATTGTGGTAAGTTCATTCTGTAGGCAAGATCAGTATGCCTGAAGATCCGATGCGAGTTTTCTAGGGTTCATACCTTTCGAGGCATTTGAAAAGCATCTTCAATACTGGCAGGACTGGGGAATAAAGACCAATCTGTAAGTCTCGGAAAGTCCGTAAGAAATGATAATCAACACGCTGAACCCCGTCAAGTTTCCCAACTGCCAGCGTATTCGGTGGGTGCATAGGGGAAGCACCTTTAGGCAACAAAATCGTTCAGGCATTTTCGCTTTTATTGGTAAAAAAATATCTAGAGCAATAGATGATAGGATATAGTACCCTGTCTTTCACTGGTTGGACGCCTGTCCAAAGTTAAAATTCACATTTTTGATGACTTAAATGCATCAAGGCTTGGAATTACACAGGGTTGCATATACTTACCGAACTGCCTGTTCCGTCCACATGCGCTGAATATGCTTCACAATTTCATCACGGGCAGCTACAAGTGTTGGATTAGGAGAGACACAAAAAATGACTAACCCGGACTAGTTTGCCACTCAAGTCCCTCGTATTCTGGCTCGCAGAAGACCAGAGGTTCAGCTAAAATGTCAAGCTCGTAAAAAAGGGAAACAACATACGAGCAGCTATTTGATACTGTGGTTTTCTTGGTGTCTTCTCAATATCCAGTAGAGCGTCGATGAGCTGTGTGAGGGATACGCAGGCATAACATTTGACGGTCACCATAATTAAAAACAATTTAAAGCAGGAAGAAAGGCACGTACTTCTGGTCCTTCAAGGCCTCTACCAATCGAAAGAAGGATGGAGACCATGCAGCGAATTTGATGATAGAGGAAGGCAGTCCCTCGAAAAGTCAGACAACACATTTGTCGAGGGTGGCTGTAATAAAGTTTTAAAAAAAACGAAAAAAAGTGAGATAAGGTCGAGAATGTAACTGCTAGGACTGGCTTATGTGCTGAGTGGGAAAAGGGTGTTATAATTCTGAATATTTTTTTAATGTATTTGTTACGGCTGCGATCATGACTGATCTAGCCTGCCTCAATTATGTCCCGAATATGCTTCTCCAAGCGCGACGATCCATGGCCGCAGACCTGGACAGTTCAACCCATTCTCTTTGCCAGCGGCGAAGACCAAATACCGAAGGTCCGAGAACCACTTCTATGTCTTGACGGACTGAGTCGAGCCAG